GATGAGCCTATACAGTATAACATATACATGATGTCAGATGTCTCTAGGATATGGAGCATGAAACACTGTTTTCACTAAGAGTTCTGTAGTCTCAGATCCTTTTTTACAAGGTCTCAGATCTTTATCAGCTCTTCAGGCCTGAGGCGTGTCAACTATGGACAGGAAACATCAGCTGGTTCCAATTTAAGAGCTTTAATTACAATTTGTTTACGCTTGACTCTTTCAATAACAGTTTGTTTGATTGGCGCTTTGTGGGCAAACACTCTACAATGCAAGCCGGTGTGTTAGGATTCTTTATTGACATAATTATAATGTTTTCATCAGATGCCCTCACAGGTATTGCGAGGAGTTATTAGGCTCTAGGAATTTGTGTACATGTGTGTGTGTTGTCAGCCTGCAGTTTGCTGCAGTCTGCTGCAGTCGATCACACAAAAGTCAGTCAGGTAACTTTTACAAGAGAGGAACAAGTCCTTGTGATCTTTTAATGTTTTCCAGTTTTATAAAAAGGTTGATTTGCGTATTTAAAAGTCCTGCACACATTCACAGGTGTTTTCAATCACTCAGGCAGATTAGACCTTAAGTCAGGTTGAATTTCACTAAACTATTTACTACAGAGTGAAATCCATGTACTACATATACTCCTGTAATAGGTAATTAACCCTAACCCTGAAACAAAACGAACTCAATCAATCATAAGTTGGGCGACTAATATTACATAACTGACTACAGGTAACAGAGAAGAGACTTTCCAATCATTTTATTTACACAGGATCTCTTTTGGAGCAGTGGTCAGTCATTGTATTGAACATGTATTACATATATTCAAGTTTAAGATTACAGTTCTGAATCAAACTATTCTAAGAGACGTGAAAATCAACAGGCATTTGTCACCGAGGACACTCTGACATGTCACAGTTGAAAAAGCACAGGTATAAATAATACAATGAATAATGGTTGAATTCTATTTAGCTGCTTCAGTTTTCAGGGTCTTGGCGTCGTATTGCTCATGCTGGCTCACTATTATGACTCACTGGGATATTTGAATGGAGCGGAGCCATTTTTAATGCTATTAGCGACACCTGTGCTTTTCCTGCTATGACAAGCTAAAATGTCTGCTGTGGAAAAAAATGGCCCTTTTTTTTTTTTATAGTGTAGGAGAGTGTGCAGTCATTTTATACACATCCATCACTTAATGTGCATGTTTTGACATATATTTAATTATGTTCACAGTCAGATTTTAAAAAGGCCTCATAGTCAGTTTCTAGCACTTGCTTAATAGTAGGATTGTGGGGATTGTGACCCCCACAGACTGATGGCCCCACTGGACAGCAGTAAGCTGAAAGCACTTCACTGTCTCTAGTGCTCTGGCCTATGACACTTGTTCAGTAACCAGACATTCTTGCTCTTCCTCTCTGATTCCTTCAGCAGCTCCTCTCGCCCTCTCCCTCTCCTCCTGCTCCTGTAGGGAGTTCTGCCCCGTGGTTTTACCGTGTTGCTCCTTCAGGTGGCGTCGCAAGGCCGGCTTGTGGGCGAAGCGGGCGTGGCAGTATGCGCAGCGGTGCGGCCGCTCGCCGCTGTGTAGGTTCATGTGGTCTATCAGTGTGGATTTTTGGGTGAAAGTCTTGTAGCACAGGGGGCACTGGTGGGATTTGCCGGCGCCTCGGTGCACGGCCATGTGTCGGGTGAGGTTGGCGGAGTGGTGGAAGTGTTTGCCGCAGCAGGGGCAGGCGTACAGCAGGTGTGTGGAGTGGGTGTGGATGGCCAGGGAGTGGGCCGAGGGGAACGTCATGCCGCAGTGCTCGCAGATCACAGGCCCAGCTACGCTTGAGGTGGATCCCACCACTGCAACAGACTCGTCCCCGCCCTCGTTTGTTCCGACGGTTGTCAACCCAGAACCCCCTTCACCGGCGTCACAGCCAGACTCCTCCAGGGTGTACTGAGTCAAACTGTTGGCAGCCATGGGTGAGACCTTTTCTCCCTGAGTGTCACCCATGCTGAAGTCTAACTGCGGGAGTTCAACTGAGACGTAACCGCCCGCCTTAAGCCCGTCTTGGCTGTAGTCCAGCCCGAAACTCCCTCCCATCCCTGACGTTGTCAGATACCACAAATCCTGATGGTGATCCATGCCTGGAGGTCTTCTCTCCTGTGATGACCCCCACCTTCTCCTCTTAAAACCCCGCCCCCTGCCTCTTCCTCTGCCCCGGTTAACTTTAGGGTCAGGCAGCCTGCGTCTGAAAGCGTGCAGCCCCTCCACTGAAGGACCCCCAGTACTGAGATCTTCTTCTGTTGGATGTAAGTCATATTCGCTGCCTTCTCCTCCAATCACAATGCCTTCTGTCTCTGGGAAACACGCATCTTGTCCATCAGAGGGAGCTCCTCTCTTCTCCCTGTCTCTGCTCACCTGCTCTTCTTCAGAGATGTATACCCTGAACACACCGTAGTCCTCCTGTCTGGCCTCTTCCTCATCTGATGCATTGACCTAAAACAGAAATGAAGTGCAATGTTGTAACTAAAGATTTAGTTTAAAAACAGTGAAAATTCCCATCAAAATTTCCCAGACTTTTCCATAATTGCTCTGTCCAACTAAATTTGCAGTGATATAAAACCAGCAAGTGTTCTACATTATTTGCTTGGTAACTGGTCACTGTCAGTAGCTACTAAAATTGTTGGCGATTTGATCAAATAGTTGTTACAGTTTACACTGTTTGCTCTCTATAAATAAAGTTATTTTCATTATTATTATTAATATTACGAAAACATGAATACTGTAGATTTGTAAATTCAATGTTGATTTATTTTTTAATGTGCGCTGTTCTCAGGTTTTTCTTTCAAACACAAACCTTAATACACGGCTCATCCAGCATGGGACTGTCGTCGTGGTGCTGACTGCTGCCCTGAGCAGACGTGTCGCCGCTGTTCTCCTCCATTGAGCGTACCGTAGGACAGTGTGGGTGCACAGGTGACGGTTGGCCAGCAGGAGGCGATGCAGATGCAACAGAATTAACGCTTCCGTTGACAATCACCGGTCGAGACTGGCTCTCCTCTGAAGTCGTCTAGAGGACGAACGGGAAGAACGGGTTATGGTATACACAGTCTATAAATTATAAACAAATTAATTCAGAAACAAATGTAAGAATCAATCAGGGATAAATATTTTTACTATTACTGCACAACGTACAGTATGTATCAGTGTTTTGGGTTACTGACCTTTAGTTGATTGGGGTTCTTTAGCTGCATATATTTCTTCAGTGCTCCTCGGCAGCGCTCCACAATGTGCTCCATCTGTAGGTAGCTGGCAGCGGTCAGGTAGTTGACAATCTCCTCTGGGTTAAACTGCAGGACGCCAGTGTAACAAGACTGAAGCAGATCACACACCACTGTGGAGCTGTACAGCATTGACACCTGGATAAAAATGTGAAACAACATAAAGAAGCATTGTTTTTACTCAGCAGAGGAGCGTTGAAGAGAGACGCGATGATAGCGCTGACGTTGTGTGTGTGTGTGTGTGACATTAGGCTCATTTGAGATGAGCCGGGCCTGCCCAGCGATAACCTCACGAGATCGAGGCGCCACGGTTGCTCTCCACCAACTGCAAGACCCGGGGCATGATGATATTAGTTTCATGTTGTGCAATGAAGGTTTAATCTGTTAACAAACATAAATTGTCTGACTGAAATAACAATAAAGTTTATTTATATATCCAAACATGGTTTAAAAACTACAAGTAGCCTAAAGGTGGATCAAAATAGTGCTGTGACTTCCTGTATATTCTTTTCAGGCTGCTGGAAATCGTCCAGCTTGACTGCAGCTTTTTGTCACCGCCTCCTGCTGCCGTCGCAAGATCTCGTCCAAGTTGCTGCTGTCCCAGTCCAGCTCCACCAACGGACTCAAAAACTCTTACGTCCCCCTCGCCATCAGACTGTACAACAGCTCTCAGTAAAGGCAGTGAGGACAATAGACAATAGACAATGGAGCAATGTCTACCCTGTAATTTGCACTGTTTACTGTAGAATACGTTATTTTATATTATATATATAGTCGCATAGTACCCATAGTGATATACTACTATACATATATTAGATATGTTTATATTTTATTTTAATTCTATTCTTAAGTCAGGGTTTTTAATTTTAGTTTATGTTGTTTAACCGTAATGTTTAGTATTTTGTATGCTACTGGATACTTGAATTTCCCCTCCGGTAAATAAAGTATCCTATCTATCTAAGTTCCCAGGCCCTGTGGCTCCCATGCTCTCCCAAAACCAGCTCATTGTTTGTGTTGGCCATCTGCCTACCTGAAAAGCTTGGGGACCCGGGTTGAGGAGGGAAGCTGGTCCCTCAAGAAGGGCGACGGCAGCCGCAGGGCCAGCACCACATGGGGCTTAATGTCCCCGAAATGTCTGGTTGTCTGCTGGCCAACCGGATGGTGATGTCGGCAAGAACGTGCCTGCGGCGACCCTCAGTGAATTTCTGTGCTTCCAGGGTTGTTGTCCCGTGGCCCGGTAAACCGGAAAACACAGCATCTGCCATCTCTGTCTGTGGAGAAATGCATAAATGTGGCAGCTCAAACCCCAGTGTGTGCAATATGCTTATACCTCCATGGACACCCTGATCTAATCTACGGTTTCTTCCAGATAGCACTCAGGACAGAGGAATGCAGTCAGACAGGGTTTACACAAGGACACAAAGTATAGGCAAATGCTCAGGGCAAATTCATTATTTCTTCCTATGTGACATCTGTTTTATTATGATGATTTAAAGACAAGAATAACCTGTTTTTGGTCATTTGATTCAGGTTGAGTAGGCAAGTAATCTAGGTTGAGATGAGTGTATAACTTGAAATGCAGCTTTAAGATCAACCCTTTTATCTGTACTACTAACCTATTAGTTACTACACGTTATAACCATTCAATATAACAGATACATAGTCTCACATTACACATATTGAATGTTTTATCGAGAAATTTTTTTATTGAAGGGAGGTTGAAAAGTTAGCCAACACGTTTTGGGTTTGAAATAAGCTTTCAAATGACGGACATTATCACCAACATGTGTTTTTAAGAGCAGTGGAGTTTATAATAGAATACTGATATTAAATCGACCGGTGTGATTGCCGCCACGAGGCTGAAATCGATCCACAACACAACTGTTTACCTCTTTTTCCTTCTGGCCCTTATCCAACGTTAGCAGCAGTCACTAGTTAGCTTTCTGGCATCTACTGGTGACCAACAACACGAACAAACAAAAAGCTACCCAGAAATCGTCCAAACTTTGCTTCCCTCACCTTTTTTTACTGAACGTCCTCTAGGCTTTTCTTTCTTTAAAACAACAAACCTGGGTTTGTTTCAAGAGCCGCCCGTTGAGTACAGCGGCGTTTAGTCCAGCCGACAGTGTTTCCTCATCCCTCCTGCTACTAGCTACTACCTCGATTTCTGTTTACTTTTTGGCCTCTTTTTATTTTTTTTATTTTTTTGGAGCAAACGCATCCCGTGACAACAAATACAAAAGCGCTGCTCTTTCGCTCTAAACTGACTGTGAGTCGGTTTTGGTGGGAGGCTTCCTCTCGCGGTTAGCCGTATAATCGGAGTGCGCACGCTGACTTCTGATCAGCGCTGTTTTAAAAAAAAAAAAAAATCAACGGGCACAACGCGGTGTGCGGAGGGGGGCGGGGCTTGGGCGATGACGCGGCACGTTCATATGCGTCGGTCGTCATCCGGGAAACATGTCGGCTTCTGAGAGAACGACAAAGGTAGAAAAAAAAAAAAAAACCCACTGCAACACAAAAAATGGCACAATAGCGACATTTAGGTGCGTTTAACCTCTTGTGAGCGCATTAGCCGATGTAGCCGAGTCGTGTCACTAAAAGCTGCGCTGTGCCACAATGCAAAATGTCTCTATTTGTCGATAATAAGAGCCTCTTTGTTGCAAGGCTGTGCTACGCTGCTAGCCACGTTAGCTCGTAAGTGTTGTGTTTTGTTAACTCACTGAATTGCTGCAGTGTTTGTCAGTGTTTTGCTTATTTTCTCGAGTTCCTTGACTGTGTGTATCGCTACGTGGTCGTCGTCGGACGTTAGGAGGTTTTTTTTCTGTGTGCGTCGCTCAGTTTAGACCGGTTTTCAAAACAGAAACTGTGCTTTTTTCTGTGCACTGTGGTTGCAATGTGGTAATCCCAGAGAAATAATCAATGTGTAAAACAAACAAATCTACATTCCTTCTTTATTTTACGCACTCCTGTTGGCGGGAGGGTGTGTGGTTTTGAAGCATGGGTTTGTGTAAGTTAAAAGGCATGAATGGGTTGATTGACTGATGGCGGCACTTGACGTAACATCAGAGAAGATCAGCCATTGGTTGCTCGGTTTATTTTGAGAAGGGAACCCGGAAGCGAGTCGCATTAACGCATTAAAGACAAAATATTGTCAGTTATAAAGGTTACGATTAGGCTGCTTGTTTACCTGACACAATTATGTGTCTGGTGACTGAAAATGAATATATTTTAGACGAGTTACTGCATTGAAACCCCTACAATGTTTTAATTGAAAATGAAAACATTCAGCAACACTCAGCAATTTCAAAATGAATGAGTAGCTCGACGTCTAAGACACTCCATTAATGGTTTCCACGCTTTGTCAAAGTATCCTACCTTTCCTCTGTTTATGTAAGTTTCACCAGTACAATACAAGATGCCGTCTCCTTCGTATATCGAGGCTACAACCATTTTACTCCAAGATAAAACTATCACCCTCCTGGCCCTGCAGGAGCCCAAAGTCAATTGGAGTTGGCTGTTTTGAAACCCTACTAATTCAATGAAATCTTGAGTATGTTGTCCAGCATGCTGATTTACACTGGAAAAACAAATGATAAAGTTCAATGACAGCCAAAACTAAAATCTGAATCACTAAGTTTGTATTAACTTTCCTAGGGAAATGTGTTTGGTCGCTGTTTCACCAGTTTAAAATATGCTTGAAAACTCCTGCTAATGTATAACTGCTGTGGTTTCAGATAATAAAGACTATAAACAAGAGTTATGTCTATATTAGTTATCCATTGTTATCCTGTTAAGTTTTATAAAATGTTACGTTACTACTTGACAAGCCAGTGACAGTTAAATATTTTGTGACATAATATTTCCTGCTATTTGTTTCTTCTCTGCCAGGAACCTCCTGAAGGGAATGACTCAGAAACACCAGCAGAGTCATTAGCTGGACCAAGTAATGTAAAGAAAGGTATGTCTGCAGCCCATTTATGCAGGGAAACATACCTATTTTTTAAATCTGTAAATTTTAGGTATGCAAACAAACTTGTGAAAACTAACGGAGAACTCTAAACTAACCTTTCCAGATAATGCAGCCTCCACCTCAGCCACTGTTGCCAAGAAGACTGAGCCTATGGGTGGTATGCCATCAATGTTGTCATCGCAGCAGCCGGGGAAGGGTGCTTCCAGAGCTGTAGAGGAGGGAGAGAAATGGTCACCTGCCTCCTCCCCAAACAAAGTTGCTGCAGGTAAGACTCGGACCCAGTCAGCTCTCATCCATGTTGTTGAAGCGGTGACTATTTTTTGAGTTACCTAATTTGATCTCTCTCAGATTTAACAACAAGATGATTCGATCCTGAAGCACAAATTCAGCAGGAAATAATAAAATAAGGCTTGATTGATACAATTCTAATAAGCTTCAAGCATTTAAGCTTTTAAAGCATCTTGCAAGCAATTCACAGTAACTGGTGTCGATGAAAAATCATTGAAGTCCAGTTCAGGTTTGCTGTGGTGGTGTGAGTTTATTAAGCATGCCGCTATCCTGGTGAACTTACATACACAGAGCAGATCTGAGTCGGTAAGCTGACTCAGAGCAAATGAAATGAGGTACTTTTATACACTAGACCAAGGCAGAACTGGCTCTCCGATTTTACTTGGTCAGTAAGTCTGCTAAATGTGGATTTTCTTCATCACTGTTTCTTCACACCTCCCTCTCACAGGACACGCAGCAAAGTCCCTTCCATCAATGTCCTCCTCTTCGTTATCCTCCTCTCCTTCTACGTCTTCAGCGTTGTCCCCTGGCCGAGCAAAGATGAGTGTTTCTGGGCCTGGTAGCAGTAAATCCGTCCCGGCACCTGCTCCTTCCTCCTCCTCTTCCTCTTCCTCCTCCTCCTCCTCCTCTTCCTCCTCTGCCACAGCTTCCTCCTCTCCTTCGGTCTCTCCTTCCCCACCCAAGATCCACCGGGCCCGCAAGACTATGAACAGGCCTCCACCAGGGCAGGTGAGGCAATCGGCAATAGCGAAATCAGCAAGTAGTGTGAAATGATAAACATCTTCCACTTATTGACAAAACGCACACAGTATAGCAGCAGTTCAGTTCTTTGTTGCAACCTTTTTATGACCATTTGAGTCACTGACTCTATTTTTGTTTCCCAGATAAGCCACATTGAGACACCCGTGACACCTTCAGGATCTTCTGCCTGCCTTTCCTCTGACTCTGAAACTGGTTAGTGGCTGTAGAAAACAGTGACTTTGAGTAAAATGAGCTAGAGTGCCTTCATTTTTAATTCTGCATTGTCATGTTTCCAATAGTTGCAAAAAGGAGAAAATTGGGTCATTTATCTGACAGCACACCTGCGAAGTCTGAGGACGTTCCAGACAATGTTCAAACTGTGGTAAGATTATGTTTTTGCAGGTATATTATTTACATTTTAGTGACTTGATTACATCTGTTGTTAAAGTTGTCTGTTGCCAATCTATTTCTTCATTTCTTTCAAAACTCAGGAAGAAACATTATTCCATAAAAAGGTGGAACCTGTTACCAAGAATGCACCAGAGAAGAGCAACGGCAGTGTGGGGAAGTTAGAGGAGGAAACAATTCAGATTTCCAATCCGTCCATGCAAGATTCAGAAAAGGTGTGAGCCTTAGAATAACTTATTGTCCATTAGTGACGATTCAT